ACACACACACACACACACACACACACACACACACACACACACACACAGGAAAACCTGAGTTCAAATCCAACTGTCAAGTGCGGATAAAAAGGTCACTTCCCTCCAGGGGTTGTTGTGGGAATTAATGAGATATGTATAAAACGCTTTGAAAACCTTAAAGTCCTGTATAAATAGTAGCTATTATTGTCGTTAACCATAAAATCCATTGTTAGCCTGAAGCCAGTGGTATCAGTGGTCACATACTTGTCACATGATTAATGAATTGTGAAGTTCAGAGGCATTGTTTTGGGTAAATAGGCCTGATGGCCAGGTGCTAACAGTTACAGTTACGTGGAGATTACTTGTGTCCAGAGAGCAATCCCTTTTTTCCATATGCAGGAGTTTGATAGATTAGTTAGGAGATGAGAGATCAGGAATTAGGGGAACTGAGGTTGAATCTTAGCTCAGAAAGTTGTGATTTGCATACCCCAGGACAGTATTGGTCCCAGCTGTCACCATAACAAATACTCATAAACTCCAATCCACACAGAATGAAATTCTTCTGAAGGACAGTGAGATGAGGAGATGCAAATCATATGGGAGCAGGAGGTGGTAAATAGCAGTCTAACATTCTGTCTGCACCTGAATTTCTCCTGGGGATAGTAGAGAGAAGCCAGCACCGGACTTGGCCTAAAAATGGATACCAAATACTGCTCTCAGAAATTTAATGCAAAGAGGAGTCTCCTCTGGAAACTGAGCTGTGTTCCAGGTTCCAGGGTGACATAAATCACTTTCAGTTCCATTCAGTAAGTTCAGTAGTCTGTATCTGTTCCTAGCCTTTACTCTTCTTCAGTGCACTGATTTCTACTTGTCCCAAAAGTATTTCTGGTGGTTTGGGGCCAGTTTATCCCATACTCTAAGAATGTTCGTCAATACTCATCATCCTTTCTGGTAGGGAAACGTTCATCTTGCTATAGCCACCTTAGGGTGATGGCCCCAGTGTCTTCGAATATTGTATTCATTAGGATTTCATTTTCATTAATTTCATTAGGATTCTTTACAAATCTGTTGGGGTCCATTTTACAGTTCTGAAAGTGAACGTGGAGTAGGATAAAATTCAATGACCCTATGTGATTCTGGAGAACTGATAATGAAACATGCTACCCACATCCTGAAGAGAGAGGATGGGCTCAATACGCAGAATGAGATGAGCATTTTTGGATGTTGCATTTGTGCAAATTTG